GGCGCACGGGGAGGCCCGGCGTCGGCTCCGCGCGCCCCGAGCTCGCTCGGGGCTCCTCCAGGAAGTCCCCCCGGCGGCGGGCGGCAGCCAGGAGGAGGATTCCACACATTCCTCGGCGCGGAGGAGGATGCCGGCCGCGGGGGGCCCTAATGAGCCTGAAAACGCAACAGGACGCCCGCGGCCTTATATGGGCAGCCCGGGCCTGGCCGGCGGCGGGGCTGGCAACCTCCCTCCCCAGTCCGGCCCGGGGCGCTGCGCCTCCCACCCTCTCTGCTTCTGCGACTCTGGGCAGTCACTTCGACTCTGTGCCTCAGTTGCCCTGCGGGGAAAGCGGGATTAATAACTGGACCAACTTCCTAAGGTTGCGATGAACATCGAGTTAATTCGCGTGAAGGGCTAGTGAGTGCCGGGTGAGTGGAAAGTGTCCCATAAATGTTGCCATTTAGTAGCTTTCTATACGTGAGGGTATCGCGGTCCACTCTCCACACCAGGCAGAATTTTGGTGTGTTTGGTGGCATCAAAGGTGTGTTGTCTCGGAGAGAACTGAGACCATGACCTCTAGACCTGCCACTGACCATGCGACCTTGACATCTCTGAGCCTGCTGTCCTCACCTGTCTAATGGTGACGGACCTGTCCCACCGGCTTACAGGGTGGGTGCGGGGTCAGAGGAGCTAAGGGCTGAAGCTTGGAAATAACGAGCAGGGGCAGCTGTGAGATGCTGGTGGGTGCCGGAGCGAGGGATGCTCTCCCCCTCTCCCTGACTGTGTCTTTCCCCCTCCAACTTGCAATCCGTCCTCCCACTCTGCTGAGTATGGTCCTCGACTTAAGGGCAGATACTACAATAAGCTAGGTCATACTCGAGGTCTAGGGACACCAGCTTATATCCGTCATCGTCCATCGGAGTATGTGGAGTATGTGCGAGGATGACCTCGCAGTAAGGGGAGGCAGGGCCCCTCTTGGCACTGGGCTCTAGCCCGGATGTCAGGACTGGTCTGCAGGGGAGGGAGGAGGGGCATCCAGGCTTACCTGGAATCTCCCTTTGGGTGGGTTTGGAGGTTTCATTTCCTTCTCCTATAATGGGTATGTGTGCATGGCCCCAGAGACCTCCATCAGGGTGTTTCCATCAGGCCTCCAAGCCAACCTGGTTCCCCTCTCTCACCTGGTTCTGCTCACAGTGAGAAGGAGAAGACTATGAGTCAAGGCGTCTGTCTCCTAGGCATGTTCCAGAAGGAGCAGAGCCCCCAGTGCCAAGCAGGACACTGTGATGCCTTTGCACACATTCAGGAATGACCAGAAATGACTTTCCATCCTGTGGACAACCTCCTAAGTGATGATTTGGGGAATAAAGTAAGTGTGAACAACCAGCAGAGATCATCTCATTCTTGAGCCTTCTGCCGCCTGGCTCATAAATTCAACTATGATGTGGGAGATAGCCCAGCTATGATGCTCATAAGCTGTCCAAACAGTTGCTTTCACTGTCAAATGGAGATGTTACCTCCTCATGAGAACAGCATGTGCACTAAATGAGGCAGAGTAGCCTTTAGCCCACTTCTCCTTTCCTTTTTTTTTTTTTTTGGTAAGGAAGATTAGCCCTGAGGTAACATCTGTTGCCAATCCTCCTCTTTTTGTTGAGGAAGATTGGCTCTGGGCTAACATCCGTGCCCATCTTCCTCTACTTTATATGTGGGTTGCCTGCCACAGCCTGGTGTGATAAGCGGTGGGTAGGTCCGTGCCCAGGATCCAGGCCTGCGAACCCCTGGCCACTGAAGCAGAGCACGTGAGCTTAACCACTAGGCCACCGGGCTGGCCCCTCTCCTTTCCTTTTCAACTTGAAGCTCACTTCTTCCAGGAAGCCTTCCTGGAATGCTGAGGTTCCAGATAATAGCGTTTATAGACACTCAGATTCATGGATGTACACTTCAGCTCTCATGTGCTCGTTTGTTGCTTGGGAAGTGGTTTTATATTTCTTCTCTTAGCCCTGTTTCACAAATTAGGTAGTGAGATCTTAGGGAGGGGACCAGGTCCTTTATCTTATCTCTCCCCCTCTTCCCTCACATCACATAACTTAAAGCTTTGCCCAGTGGCATGCTGTACATATTTTAGAAATTTCCCTACAGTCAAGACCAGCACTTAAGCTTTACAGCTTGTAGAATCTATGACACTGTCAACTGTAAGATGAACCACTATTTTATGTAACACCGAGAAAGAAAAAATGCTGCCAATTAAACTATTTAATTAAATTGTGAGCTGTGCCCTAATTTGGCAATGTTATAATGTGCATCTTAGACTCAGTGAACTACGGTGGCTTTTCCCCTGTCTCTGAGAATTGGCTGAATGAGCCAAGAGCCTGCTGGGTTTTCGTCGCTGCCCCGTGGTTTGGAGTGGGACGGTCAACATGGGCAGCAGAGGAAGAACCATCCTTATATACACACTGCCCTGATAGCAGAGGGTCACTGGGTGCTGGCACGGTTAGCAGATGGAGAAAGTAAGAGATCTTGAGACATTCAGGAAGCAAGTTCGGCTCTGCTACCTAAACCATGAGTGGCACCTGGGAAAACAAGTGGACCCCCCGTCTGGGTGGGGCAAGTTAGGGCACATCCCACTCCTGAGACATAGGCCTCCTGGAGGGCCTGTGATGGGAAGGGAAGGAGGTAAGGGAGGAAGGAAAGACATCTCCATCAGCCTAGAGTAGATCCTGCAAGAAATCCGACTTGGTGTGGGGAGTCAGTCTGGCCCTGGGGAGCCGGGGAGCCCAGCGAGTTGTCAAAGCAGGGAGAGATAGAGGAGAGAGCTTTGGAATAAATGAAAGGCTGTATTCGGTGCCTGACTGCATGAGAGGCAAAAAGGAGGGTGGGGGTCCGAAAGGAGTCAGCGTTTAGAGAATGGGACAGCGGAGGCACCATCGACAGAGACAGGAGCACTGGCTGCGGGAGCTGGTGTGACCAGAGACAGGAACTGGGCGTGGCCAAGTGGGTCTGGTTCCGGTGGTGCCGAGTTTGAGATGAGGAGGGCAACCCAGAGGGAAAGGCCAGAAATGGAGAGGCGGCTGTGAGGGAGCTGCTCTCTGGAGGAGAGTGGAGCCAGGCCGGAGAAGGCTGCTGTCTGAGCCCGGGAGGGGCAGGAGGAAAAGACGAGAAAGAAGCAGCCTGAGAGACCGGAGAAGCCAAGGGTGTGGCCACCCAGAGCTCTGGGAAGCAGGGAGTGGTCAGTGGTTTGAAAACCTCAGAGAGGTCTCTAAGAACCTTGGTTGGCTGGAGAGAAGGTAGTGGTGACCTTTAAGCGGGCAGTTTTATTAGAGGGTTGGGCAAAGAAGTCGGCTTGCAAAGAATTAAGGAAGAAATGCAGGCAGTAAGTGTCATCTGCCAGCTCTACCAGCCTGGCTGGGAGAAACACAAAATAAAAATGATGGCAGGCAGAGGGGACAGCAGGGACCTTTCCAAGACGGGCCAAGCCTGCACATGTCGGAAGGTGAGCAGCAAAAGAATGGAGAAGGAGAATTAAAGATGCTTCGTGGAAAGAAAGTGTCCTGTCTCTAGAGATGAGAAAGGCCCCCAAACACAGGTGGTAGGATCAGCTCTTCAGAGGGAGGAGACGCTGATGGGAGGGCCGGCGTGGAGACAGCAATGAGGAGGCAAAGGGTGCCTGCTGAGAAGGGGGAGGAGGAGGTGGTGCCATCTTTCTGGAGGCCTGGCCCTTGGTGAATTCCCAATAAGCAAAAAAGAGTGGGAATGGGAATTGAGGAGAGTGGAAAAGGCCCAGAAAATTTACTGGTGCAGGGTATCTAGAAGTTGTATTCAACATCCCTGGGGCCTGAGAAGGTAATGGAATCCTCGGGCTGGGGGCAGCGTTGGCCGATCGTCTCTCTGGTCTCAATCCTGTGGGCTCTGCCTCAGAAATACACCCAGGGTCTGACCCCTGTTGGCCTCCCATTGTTTTAGGTTTGGTGCCCTGTGACATAGACTCTGAGCAGGGGATTTGCCTGCAGGAGGTGTACTGGGTGGGTGGGTGGGGCTCTCAGGCCCAACGCCCCTTGGGAGGGAGAGTGAAGAAGTTGAACTGGGATGCAGGCCCTGCGGGATCCCTTGGTATGTCCAGAGTGAGGTGGCCCCGGAGGTGTTCTGAATACATCGACCAGTCTTTGCCCCCAGGGAAGGTATAACCTTGGTGCAGGCAGCTCCCTTTAGCCAGGAGCAGCGTTCCAGCTCTGGGAGAATGACCGCCTCCCTCCACCGTAGCACCCCTGCACGTGCTGTCCCACCTGCCCCAAAACTGTGAGCCTGGAACAAGTCACCCTCCCCGCTGGCCCCGTCAGCAGCCATCCTCAGCAGAAGCCCGTCTCCGCTGTGACCCACGGCCCTGCGTGCCCTGGCCCCTTTGTCCTGACACCATCTGTGGCTGTGCTCTGCTTTGTTGAGCCCGGGCACATCCCTCTGGCTGCTCTTCCTCACGTGCGCCAGGAGCCCCTCTCCGGCCTTTGCACTTGGAAAGCTGTTCCCCTGCACATCTCTGTGGCTGGTGCTCTCACTCTTTCAGGGGTGTTAAAAAATTGTCTTCCTAGTGAGGCCTTCCTGAGCCTCCCTCCACCCACCTAACCCCCTGTTTACAGGCTGAATTGTGTCCCTCCCCCCAACAATTCATATGTTGAAGCCCTAACCCCCAGCACCTCAGCAGGTGACTATAATCAGAGATAGGGCCTTTACAGAGGTGGTTAAGCTAAAATGGGGTCCCATGGGTGGGCCCCCATCCAATATGACTGGTGTCCTTATAAGAAGAGGAGATCAGGGCACAGAGACACACAGAGGGTGA